CAAGTCTACAGAGAGAAGGGAAAGGGAAGGCAAGCAACAAAGAAAAGAGAAAAGCTGAAATATAAAAAGCAGCTATGAGATCATCCTATTTATATAAAATATGTGTGTATCTAGATTAAAAAAATAAGAGGAAAAGATAGATCAATATCTACTAATTTATGGAGATATTCATGGTATGTTGGTAAGTGAAAAAGATGGCGGAAGAATGTTTATCTGCACATGTGCTTTTATGTTTTCTATGAGCCAAGAGAAGGTATAAAAGGATTCACCAATACTGCCTCAGGGATGGTTGCATCTGGAAGGTAGAGAGCAGGCAAGTGGAAGGGAGATGGTCGTTGTCATTTTAGCTGTAAATAACAGAAACTTGACTGACAGGAGCTTGACAAGCTGGTGTTTATTTTTCTCATATAGTAAGTCTAGAGATAGTAGTTTCTGCAATCCAAGGATGGAGACTGTAATTTTGTCTCCACTTTCCTTCTGTTCTCATGCATGTTGCCACATGTTGCGAGATGGCTGACACAGATCCAAATATCAGGATCATTCTGTTCAAGGAAAGGAAAGGGATAGTGTCAGCTATTTCTGCTCTTTTCATCAGGAAATCCAAAGGTTTCCCAGAAACTTTCAGCATATTTTCCTTATGGCTCATTGGCCCAAGTTGGACCAACTCTAGCTTTAAGAAACCCTAGGTAAACAACTATTTAGGCTTTCTGGGTTCTATAACAGAGAACTGTTCTTAGAAAGGAAAATAGGGCTGAGAAAAGTATTGGGTTATCCAACCAATAGAGACCACCATGGTTTGCTTTGCCTTTAAAAGTTTCATTTGTTGCCATAAGCATGTTTTACTATTTTAATTAGATAATAAAGCTCCAAATTCAGACTTTGGACCAGCTAGTCAGCTGGCCTCTGAGCCTAAAAGTGTCATATTTCTGAGCATGATAGTATCATGTGAAAAAAGGAAAAGAGAAGATGGTAGCAGGGCCTACATTTTTAACATAGTGACATCAACCACCAGTTTGGTTAGTTTCCTGTAAACTGATTTACCTATTTGTAATTTCTTTACCTGAGGCTAGATGGAGGTTTCTCTGGACTGAAAAAGAGGGTGAAAATTTCCCTTCCCTCTAAAAGATACAGACAGTGGTATATTCCAGATTCCACTTAGAAAGATCTGTCTGGCAGCAGTATAGAACATGAACTGTAGGGATCGTGAAAGAAGAGGAGACTCTAAATCCACATAAGAGATTATGAGCACTGAACTGAGGCAGTAATAATGGGAAGACAGAAGGGGAGTGAAATATAGAGCTGTTACACAATGGAATCTGTATGAATTGATCGCTGGTGTAATGTGAAAAGTGAAGATAAAGGAAATATCTGAAATGATTGCTAAATTTATTTATTGCTAAATTTATTTCTTGGGTGAATAACAATTGGATTGTGGTAGCAATCACTAAGATTTTGGATGAGGAGTAGGTTAAGGGAAAAGTTAACTTACTTTTGAACATGCTGTGTTTTCCTATGCCTGGGTGGCAAATCCACAGAGGGATGGATATCTAATAGAATAATGGATATCCATAGATCTATGGATTTGGGGTTCAGGAGAGTGATCTAGGCTAAAGACAAAGATTATTGAGTCATCAGCATAAAAGGTAGTGGCTAAAACTATAGGGATTAAAGATATGATTGCTTAAGGAGAATGTGTACTGTTAGAAAAGAAAAGGTCCAAGGCTGGGCACTACAGAATACCAACATTTAGTGGGTAGCCAAAGGAAGAAAAACTAGAAAAGGAAACAGGGTTAGAAATTCAAAGGAGACTTCATTCAAGAGGCATTCTTATAAATGACAATTTTAAGAGAAAGAATTGGCTGACGATGTTAAATGCTGCAGAATTGTTGAGTGCAATGAGAACTAAAAATAGTCTATTGTTGGTGGCAGTTGGGTCATAGATGACTTTTGGCTAGAGTACTTTTATTTTAAGTGGGTAGTGGGAAAGAATAGACAGAAATAATATTCTTTTCTTTCCAGGAACTTGACTCTGAAGGGAAGGAGAGAAGTAATTGTAGATGATGGAAATGTAGCATCCAAGGAGAGGTTTTTCTGTTGTTTTTGTTAGAAGAGATTTGTATACATGTATCTCCTTTAGGGAAAAACATGTCAAGAGACTGGATAATCTTAATTTATTTTGTTTTATTTTTTTATTGAGGTATAATTGACATAATATTATATTAGTTTCCGGTGTATGACATTATGATTTGGTATTGGTGTATATTGTGAAATGATAACCACAATAAGTCTGATTAATATCTGTTACCACACATAGTTAACAAATTTTTTTTTTCTTGTGATGAGGACTTTTAAGATTTGCTCTCTTGGCAATGTTCAAATATGCAATACAGTATTATTAACTGTAGTCCCCATACTGTACATTATATCCCCATGACTTAATTGTTTTATAACTGGAATTTGGTACCTTTTAACCTCCTTCACCCATTTCTCCCACCCCCCCCCGCCCCATCCCCTGCCTCTGGCTTCCAGCAATCTGTTCTCTGTATCTGTGAGCTTGGTTTCTTGTTGTTGTTGTTGTTTAAATTCCACATGTAAGTGAGATCATATGATACTTTTCTCTAACTGACTTATTTCACTTGGTATAATGTCCTCTATGTCCATCCATGTTGTTGTAAATGGCAAGATTTCATTCTGTTTTATGGCTGAATAGTTTTCCTTTGTGTCTGTGTGTGTGCGTATTACATCTTCGTTATCCATTCATCCATTGATGGACACTTAAGTTGTTTTTGTATCTTGGCTATTGCAAATAATGCTACAAAGAACATGGGGTACATATATCTTTTTGAATTAATGTTTTTGTTTTCTTCAGATAAATACCCAGAAGTGGAATTGCTGGATTATATGGTAGTTCTATTTTTAATTTTTTGAGGAACCCCCATGCTGTTTTCTATAGTGATTGCACCAATTTACATTCTCACCAATAGTGCACAAGGGTTCCCTTTTCTCCGGGTCATTTCCAACACTCATTATTTCATGTCTTTTTTATAATAGCCATTCTAACAGGTGTGAAGTGGTATTTCATTGTGGTTTTGATTTGCCTTTCCCTAATGATTAGTGCTATTGAGCATCTTTCCATGTACCTGTTGGCCATCTGTACGTCTTCTCTGGGAAGCTGTCTAGTCAGATCTTGTGCCCATTTTTTAATTGGATTGATTTTTTCTGTTGAGTTGAATGAATTCCTTATGTATTTTTGATATTAGCCCCTTATCAGATATATGATTTTCAAATTTTTTCTCTCATTCAGTACATTGCCATTTCATTTTGTTGATGATTTCCTTTGCTGTGCAGAAGCTTTTTAATTTGATATATTAAATTTTTAAAAGATTTAAAGGTATGTTTATACATAGGAAATAACACTAAGGTAATATATATATAAATATATATACATTTAAATATATAAATATATTTTATATATATTTATATATTACATATTTATATTATATAGCATACTATATATTTAATATTTATTTGTATAAATATATATTTCAATGTATTTAATATAATAATATATATTTAAATAGTATTAATGCTTATTCTGTCGAATGGGTGGCTTTCATTTTTACTTTGTATATTTCTATATTTTTAATTGTTCCACAGTAAATATTTATTGAGACTCTAAACATATTTGAGACTGTTTAGTGTTACTCCTACTACATTCTGTTGGTGAGTTAATGAAGAGTTGACTGGGTCCTTCTATTTCCAGTATCTCACCTAAAATATAGCCTGTCTTCTAGTGACAAGTAATTTATCTTCCATAGCTTATTCATTCAGCCAATATTTATTTGGTTCCTACTGGATATCGGGCACAGTTCTTGGCACCTGGGGTTACATCATTGAGTATAACAGACAAAGATTCTTGCCCTCATGGGTCTTACATTCTAGCAGAGAGGTCAAACAATAAACATAGTAAGTAAATAAAATTATGTGTGTATTAGAAGTTAATAAATGTCATGGAGAAATTTAGAGCAAAGTAGGAGTGTCAGAAGGTGGGAGAAGCAGCTTGTTGTATTAAATAGGGATGGTTAAGGTAGATCTTACTGAGAATGTAAGAATTGATCAGAGACTTGAGGGAAGTGAGAAACTATCTACAAAAAGCATTCTAGAGAGAGAGAACGGTAAATGTAAAGGTCATTAGGTAAGAGTTTGGATCTAAGGTACGAGTGGCACCAGTAAGGAGGTCAGTGTGGCTGGAGCCTGGTAAGAGGTAGATAGTAGTAGGAGATGAGGTCAGAGAAGTAAGGGTGGCTGAGAAAGATCATGTAGGATCTAAAGGCCATTGTAAACACTTTAGTTTTTACTCTGAGTGGTTTTGTGAGCCTAGTAAATTTGAGCAGTCTTGTGACATGATGTGACATTTTAAAATGATCCCTCTAGTTTCTGTGTTAAGAGTAGACTATGTGGGAATATGGAGGGAGAAAAGAGAGAATGTGGTTCCCAGATAGAAGCAGGGAGACCTGTTAGGAAGCTATTGCAGCAATATAGGCAAAAGGTGATTGTGCCTTGGACCAAGATGATGAATGTGGATTATATGAATAATATAGATAAAACTGATAGAGAAAGAAATTTGTGATTGAAAACACAGTATTGAATTTCATGGATGCAGTATAGAGAAGTGGTTCAGAGTTTGGGCTTTGAAGTCAAGCAGAGCTGTGACTTAAATAAGTTATTGTGACCTTAACTTTACTCAATCACTCTGAGCCTCAATTTCTTAATCTATACACTGGGTATTGTTTTAGTTTGCTTGGGCCACTATAACCAAATATCAGATTGAGTGGTTTAAACAACAAACCTTTACTTCTCATAGTTTTGGCAGCTAGGAAGTCTGAGATCAAGGTGCCAGCAGATTTGGTTCCTGGTGATGTCCTACTTCCTTGCTGGTAGACAGCTGCCTTCTTGCTGTGTGCTCACATGGTGTGTTCATGGAGGAAAAGAGACAGAGAGAGATCTCAGTCTTCCTCTTCTTAAAAGGGCACTAATCCCATCATAAGTGTCGCACCCTCATGACCTCATCTAAATATAATTACCTCCTAAAGATTCCTGCTTCCAAATACATTCAGGGTTAGGGCTTCAACATGAATTTTGGGGGACACAAACATTCAGCCCATAACAGGGAAGATAATGGTTGTTATGAGAATTAAACTTAATATTATATATAAAAGCACTTAATACTATGCCTACTCCCCATATTAAGTACTAAATAAATGTTATCATTGCATAGTAGCTGTTTATTCTTTTGACTTAGAGGCAACTTTGCCATATTTCCTGAATTTTTAAGACACCATTGATTGACAGTCAGTTTAATCAGTAAAGCCTTTGGGGAGAGGTGGGAAGATTTTCAAATGAAAGACATCTATCTAGTTAATATTACATACCAATTTCAGAAATGTTAAAATGCCCGGAGAAACCGAATCACAAAGATATATGTAGTCACTTTTTTGCTTTGGAATCCTATTTGGTGTAAATATACACAATGTAGATGATTGAGTGCCCCACCTTTGCCCAGCTCAGCCTCACATTGCATGTCACCCAGTCTTCCCTAAGCTTGTTAACTTAAGAGGTGCCAGAGGATGGGTCAGAAATTATCTTGCTACCAAGTATAGCCTCTGCCTTCTGTTGAGCTGGCTCAGCCTGTGACCTTCCTGATTTCCACTCATGTTTCAGCTTGGACTGGAGCTCTTATTCACTTCACTGGTGCCTTAATAACTTTGTAGCCATCTTTTCTGTCTTCCTTCTGGGTGTTAGACCCTTTTACCTTGCCCCAACCCTGTCTAGAGGCTTACATCAAACACATGGAATCCCTGAAATGCCCTGACTGTCATCACTGCCATGGAACCTTTGCTGCCAGTCTCTACTTTTCATATCTAGCCGTTGAATATTGACACCAGCCTAGATTAATTTAAAGTCATTACGTCTCCTGGATACTGTGATTTGGATAAGTAGCCACCCTCCTTAGAGGATGTTCAACCATTGAGACCTTTCCCCACTTGCTCTTTCCAGGTGAGTCAAGGATTATACACCGCCTCCCAGTCAGCCCCCAGGTGAGAAAAGAAAGTGTGCTTAAGCATTGTTTTCATGAATAATATCCATGATCTTTGGTTCAAACATTTTATTTTTCAAACAATTTAATTTGAACAGCATAAAAAGGGAGAGCCAGCTTATGGAACAGGTGGATAGTGAACTAGTCTACTTTTATCCAGAGGTCATAAAGTAAGTTCAGTGTTTAGTAACAGTGTTATTGCCATGATAATGACTTACATAGAGCCATTTTAATTTTACTTAATGGCTTTTTTTTTCTTTAGAAATTAGACATTCGGAAAGATTAGATACAAGGAATTGTGGGAATTTTCATGACGTAATAACCTATTCGTGTAATTTCTACTTCCCACAAAATAAAATACAAGTCTTCTATTTTTAAAAGGGGAGTCTGATTAAAAAATGATTATAAGATTTTTATTACATTGCAATGATTCATGTAAAGTCTTTCCAAGACTACTTTCTACTAAAAGGAGATAACGTCTTTTCACCTGTATAGTTAGAGATGGAAATAATGGGAGCAGTAAGCACATTATTCATTCTGTATTCTCGTTAATTAGAGAAATGTTTTACATCTGCATAAAATAGAATGATTGATATTTCCAGATAATAAGAAGCCTGATTACAGACATCACAAGACAAGTGCACATGCAGAAACCAAGATGGAAATGCCCAAGAAAAATAACCACTCATATTTATAAAATCTTAAAAATGTTAAAGTATATGTGAAAATGCTCTTAGCTACTATGTGTCTTTAAAATGTTGAACTGGCTATATACACATAATTTCATATGAAAAAAGAATCAGAGACACTAATAGACCATTAAATAAAATATCAGAACTCAGATGTTGCTTATGTTACTTAGTTCTTATCCGACATTTCACAAATGAAGACAGTTGGTGAAGTAACTTAACACTGGGTCACAGTTGTTAGTGGAAAGATTATTAGGAAATTTTCTAATCCTGAAAATTTTCTACAATGACATGCAGCCTCAAAAATATGATATTTAATAATATAGTGCCATTTAGATTAGCAAGTATGTATTTAGGAAAAAAATTTATTTGACATCCTAGTACCCAGAACTGTGGAGAAACTTGAAGGTCCCAGGCTGAAGCTGGAGAGCCACTGTTCTGTGACTTGAGCTACACAAAGACATGAGTTGCAAAAAAAAGCACGTGGTAACCAGAAAAATCGAAGATTAAATTCCTATGATTGATAAACTAGCAGACTATAAAAGTCTAAACCTTTAATTCCAATACACCAACCATAAAGAAAAAGCAGTATTATCATTGTATGAGAGAAAGATAAAGGGAAACAGACAGGGCCGACCCCGTGGCCGAGTGGTTAAGTTGCACACTCCGCTGCGGCAGCCCAGGGTTCGGATCCCGGGCGCAGACATGGCACCGCTCGTCAGGCCACGTTGAGGTGGCGTCCCACATCCCACAACTAGAAGGACGTGCAACTAAGATATACAACTGTGTACAGGGGAGGTTTGGGGAGATAAAGCAGAAAAAAAAAAAAAAAGATTGGCAACAGTTGTTAGCCCAGGTGCCAATCTTTGGGGAACAAAAAAAGGGAAACAGACGTAGAATGGTAGAAAAATGAGAAGCCAGAAGCGGCAGTATGGGAACTGAAAAATTAAGGATCAAATCACTCCTGAATTACTGAGTTGACTCTATTAATCAATTTTGAGGCAAATTAAATCTTTCAAACAATCAGAGTTCTGAGAATGCCCATCTTTTCCGTTTAAGCTGTATTTGGCTCACTCATTCAGTAAACATCCAACTCCTACTATGTGCAAAGCTGCAAAGCGCTCTATTCTAAGGGCTTATACTGATATGGAAGTAAGAAAGATGTGGCTCTTTCTCAGTTAACAGCCTAGTAAAAGGGCTAACTATGTATACGAGAAGCTGAATATGAATTTCACAAATGGTAAAGAGCCACATGGCTTCGGCAGGAGGAAAAGTGGTGGCAAGGAAGGTTACAGAGGCTTGAAAACATAGGACCTATTCCTTGCCAAGCAAATCACCTGTGGGAAAATAGTAAAGGAGGCAAGTGAAGAGAGAAGTTAGGGCAAGAAAATAGAAAGCCCTAAATACTAACCTAAAAATTATTTTTATATTGTTAAATCTAATAATTGAAAAATCAGGTTATCAGAGTCAAATAAAGTGAGGAAAACGCAGTACAAATATAAGATAGTTATTATTAGTGGTTTTACTAAATTCCTCTACCCTTAGGGAGTAATTCTTAGAATGAGGTCATTTCCAGTCAGGTTCCAGAATATCTAGCTGACCTGCCATGCCCGAGGATTCTGTGCAGTTTCTGGAATAGCCAAGAGCATGTATGTTGTCTGCTAAATATGCCTGCTTCTCAGTGCCAGCAATTAATTTAATGGAATAACATAACAAAGAAATTAATACCTTGGAAAATACAGACCCGAATTTAAGAATAATGTGGTTTAATCTTCCTGGAAAAATTTGGAGATCTCACAGTGTCGGAGTACTTCAGGAGAACTACTGGGCATACAGGTAGATATACAGGGCAACTGTTTTACCCTCATCGTCATGCCGGGTACAGCATGATTCTATATCCTGTTTGTTCAGATATTCTGAGATTATTCCCAAGTGTTTGTGGGAGAGGGGAAAATTCACCCCTTTTCTCTCTTGGTTCTTATGGCTGTTAAAATGACATAAGACAGATTAACAGGAGAAGAACCAGTTTATTACATATGTACAGGAACCCCACGTACATAAGAGGTTCGAAGACGGAAAGGTAAAGTGAAGTGTATATGCCATCTTGAGCCAAGGAATGGGATAGGGGCCTGGGGCTTCAGAGGGGAAGAAGTTAATCCACAGGATGATAAGAGAAGCAGTTGTTCAGTAGTAGATGTTTGCCCTGCCATACAGATAGGCCATAAAAATTTATTTCTGGTAATAAATTAGGGCAAGGCCCTCAATTTAAATTCTTTAATTGAGAGGTAAAAGTTTCTCTTAAGCCTGTAGGGTCCTGATTGCCTTTAGCTCGAAATAGTCCACATGCCAAAGTGGCACATCTTGGGGAAGGTTTTTCTGAACCCCTTCATGTTGTTTTGTTTGTTTGCTTTAATTTTAAATTATGATTTAAATAAATATCAGTTAATATCATAGTGATCTACCAGAAGAAGAAGCTGTTTACCAATGAATCAAAATAAAGGTCATCAACTACACTGAGGGAAAAAAGTGAAAGTATTACATTTACCTATACTGGATATACTTCCTCTCAGGGAAACAAATTTGTAATCAGAGAGTTTCCAGGATGAAAGGAAGTGCTAAATCTGGAATATCAATGAATATAACAAGATGGAGAAAATAAAGTACAAGATGGAGAAGAGAGAGTTGTAGTGGGTAAAGTTTGTTGTATGCTTTGACAGCCATTGATAACTTCTCAGAAAACTATTGACAGTTTGGTGTTTTATTTCCCCCCATGAATAAGCATTGTATATATAATTTACTTACGCCTACAGACTTTTTACTCACATTCATAGTAGTTTGAAAGGGCAGAAAAGGACATGACTGAAACTCTTTTTACAACCTATTAAAACATAGCTCCTGCTTTTTCTTTATTTCTGAAGAGAATATTATTTTTGAGTTAATCATTTTAATCAGCCACTACATTTCAGGAACCTTACCCATTAAGCAAATAAGAAAGTAACTATAGTTAAGTTGTATAGTAATTTCTAGAAACCATATGAAATTGAACTTTATATATTATATTTAAATTTATTGGACTGATATTTACATTAAAAAGCTACTTACCAGCCAAACTATTGAGTGCATGAAATATGATTTCTAAATTGTAATACAAAAGTTTCTTTGTTGATACAGACTTTTCTGTGCAGATAAAGCCTATGCTAAGCTGTTGGCCTATCTTCTTTGCTCTAATCATACCATCCTTTTATAGTGAAATCTCCGGCTGTTTTGATTGCTGGAAGTGGGAATTTACTCAGAAAAGCTAAAATAAGTAAAAAGCAAACAAGCTTTTGTTAGAGGAGTTCTTGTCCTCAGCACTATTGAACAAAAATGGGGTGTGTGTGTGTGTGTGTGTGTGTGTATTGCCTACCATAAAAAGTTCATAATAACATGCTATATTGGTATAACAATTTTAGATCACCAAACCTTTTCACATATTACATATGATGTTATAATACCCGTGAGTATACTGAGAAGTAGATTAGGAAAAAAACTATTACTTATTTACATACAGGAAAGATGAAGCTTAAATGGATCAAGTGGTTTGCCCATTGTTTTCTAACCCAAGTGATAAAGAGTTGGGGAGGCCAGGTACTGCTTTCATTTAGGATCTTCTGAGAAGGACTCTGAGGTAATATTTGAGCTGAGGTCTAAAGCAGTGAGAAAAGAACCAACCGTTCACAGAGACAAGGGAGAGCAGTTGAGGCAGAAGATACAGCAAGCACAAAGTTATGTGGAATAGTTAAAAAGAAAAGGAAAGTACTCTAGCTAATAATTGGAGTTGATGTAAGCAAACCAGAGTATACTAATCCACAATTGCAGTATTATACAGCCATTAAATCTATTGTTTATTGGGAGATTTAATATTATGGGAAAATTCTTAATATACCATAGTAAATGAGAATGTAGAATCATAATTTTAACTACTGTATAATTATAACTTTAAAATTAAAAGAAAAATATGAAAGAAAGTGTATAAAAATATTAGCAGTGTTTTATTTAGGAAGTGGGGTCATGGGTGATTTATTTGGTGATCTACTTATCATTATTTTCCACATTTTCTGCACTTTATTTCTCAACTTCATTTCAAAGAAAGTACTCACACATCTTTCAACGGAAACATCATTATCCTGAATATTGAAATTCGGTTAAATATTGGTGTGTATTGAATATTTTTTCTGAAAAGTGAGTACATTGGAGAGGAAGTTAAATTATAATATTGCTACTAAAGAGTTATCCAGTACATCCTTTTAAAAAACTTTTGATATTATGCATATCTGTATACATTTTATAACAAATACTTTTAAAAAAAAGATTGTAGCTATGTACACATGATTATGTACCTACATACTTCAAAACCACCTGCAAGTATTAAGTAGAAAGAGTTCAAAAGATTGTGGATCTCTCTTCTAACCACCTGCAGTTTTGGGGTTCTTTCGTTTGTTTGTTTTTAACCAGTGACATTTTTAAGTTCTATGTTTCAAACAAAATGTAAAAATAGTTTGGGATACAAATTGCCACATACTAATTGAATTTGAATCTGTTTATACCTTAATGTAATTTTTAAATTTTCTATAGCAAGCATGTATTACTTTTATTTTTTCTGTTTTTAAATGATTGATATAGCACTGCATTACTACATTTTTCCATTTAAAAAAATCAGAACATTATAAAAAAAATTTTTAAAAAGCTAAAGACCTTTTAACCATTACTTTCAATCTAGATCATTTCCCACTGCCCATAGAAGGAATCAGCGTTAGTGTTACCAAACCAGGTTCGTTTTTGCCTGCTGCCCAGGAAGCCAAACACCAGGATGATGAAATTGCAGCAGAGAGAGGGTTTAATCACAACACAGCCATATGAGGAAATGAGAGCAAGAGTCTTAAGTTTGCTTCCCCAAAAATAGGGACTCAGAGATATTTATGGGATAGGGAGCAAGGTGGTCTGAAATGTGGAGAGAGGTGATTGGAGGTGAGGAGGAGTGAGGTAATTGATGATCTGTGCAAGCGTAGTCAAACTTCATGCCTTTTCATAGGACCCATGTTCACAAAATGGTGGCGTTAACAAGATGTGAGGGTGGAGTTTTTAGCTTCTTGATGTCAAAGGGTCGCCTATCGGACATCTGCGCTGGCCCAGTTGATCAGTTGGTGGTCTCAACTGGCCTGAAGTGGACAAGGGGTTCTAATTCCTGAAAAACAGGTCACACACCCATTACCATGGTGACCCAGGCTCCAGGGAGATGTTATCTATAGGAGTCCAGTGGGCGTCAGAGAGCATATTGCCTAAGCAGCACAGTTAACAATGGGTGGGTTAAACAGCTAAAAGCTATAATCAGTAATTGCAAAAAGGAAAAAAAACTTTAGATCCTAGCTACTTAATCATCAATGGCTAACTCTCTGCCGGTTTCATTAGGACATTATTATATATACCCGGGGCCTTTTAA